CAAAAAAAAAAAAAAAAAAAATCCTGTCTCTCTCGTGTACCTTGGGCAGCTTTTTCTTCTGGAAAATGGGAATGACGGCGGCCCTGCCTAGCCGGATTCCTGGGAGGATCACACGAGATACTACTATATGTGATAAGCTCTGTCAAAAAGGTAAAAGTCCTTATACACGTGAAAGGTCTTGTTAAATATAATTCAGTAGTGGCCTTACTTTTTCTGCTTGTTCAAAATTTCCTTCTTGTACCAAAAAACCATCTAAAGAGACAAAATAAACATGAAATATGATTATATGCATAATATAATAAAGTACCCAGAAGATGGGGGCCGCTGGTGTGTCAGGGCGGCTGGGGTGTGTGTGTATGAGTCTGCCGTGCCACCCCTGTTTTTACTGCGTAAGTCCCTGGGGTTCAGGTATGCAGGTGCCCCGCGGTGAGGGTGTGTGCCCGTGAGCCCACGTGCTTAGCTGAGGGTCTCTGCAGATATCTCCGCGTGTGGACACAAGTATCCACGTGTGCTCCAGGGCGTGTTTTTTCTCCCCGAGTCCGAGAAAACGCCTACAAGGTGGGCACCCGCATGTACAGGTGCCCCGGGTGTGTCCAGGGTTTCGCTTCCGGCGTCCCTGAAGATGCTTCTCAGATCAGACGCGACACGTGTGGGTACAGTCCCCGCCCCCGCGTGAGTACCTGCGCGTGTAGGTGCTCCCGGGCAGCGGGGGTGCAGCTCCCCGAGCTGAGTGCCAGGAGGGCGGAGGAAGAGGTCACTCACCCGGCTCTGAAAGCGCGGCCCGGCTCCTCGAACTCTTCTCTCCCTCCCTCCTCACGCAGTCTAACGGCAAAACTTCACTGCGCTTGGCAGTAACTGACGGGCTTGTGGGCCAATCACCGCGCAGCTTCCGACAGACGCTGGACCAACGGTTGTACAGTAGTCACCCGACCAACGCCTATTGCAAGGGGTCGCTGGGTAATGTAGTCCTCCGCTACTGAGGCCTTCCCCCTACGAGACGCAGAGCTTGCTGGGAGATGTAGTCCCTCGGCGCGCGCATGCACAAATGTTACCCACGCGTTGAAAGGAGGAGGGTCCCGAAGGCAGGTTGCGCCGTTGGAGGTCGCCGTGCTGAGTGGCGTGTGCCTTGGATCAGATTGCTGGCGGGCGGAAGTTTAGGGCGCGCTGAACGTGACCCTCTTTCCTCAAAACTTTCATAGTTCCAGTACCCGGATCACCTAAACTTGGAAAAGATGGCGGGAAGTTTAGCAAAAGCCTGGAGGGCGTGCGGGAAAGAATAGATGAATTTTTAAGACCAGAACGACGACGGCAAAAATACAGAGGTTTTGTTTCCCCCTAGGGTTTATTATGCATAACTCTCATTATAAGATAATATAAAAATATATAGACACATTACAGAAAATGTAGAAATAAAGGGGAAAATGATTCATCCTACCGCTCTCACGCAAGTAGTATCAGCGTTTTGCAGGACAGTCTTCCCGATTTTTAAACTGCATTTTTCGTATTACTGCAATCATTTTGACGCACAATTTAAAAACATTTTATTAGGCTTCCCTGGTGGCGCAGTGGTTGAGAGTCCACCTGCCGATGCAGGGGACGCGGATTCGTGCCCTGGTCCGCGAAGATCCCACATGCCGCGGAGCGGCTGGGCCCATGAGCCATGGCCACTGAGCCTGCGCGTCCGGAGCCTGTGCTCCGCAGCAGGAGAGGCCACAACAGTGAGAGGCCCGCGTACCGCAAAAAAACACACATTTTTATTGAACAATTTAAAAACGTTTCAGGGACTTCTCTGGCAGTCCAGTGGTTAAGACTCCGGACGTCTACTTCAAGGGACATGGGTTTGGTCCCTGGTTGGGGAACTAAGATCCGTGTGCTGCGGCACATAAATAAGTAAAGAGTAAATAAATAAATAAAACGTTTCATACTATACAAAAGTAGAGAGAATAGCCTGATGAACCACCATATAGTCATTACTCAACTTCAACAATTAACCAACTCCTGGTCAGTCTTGTTTTTCTCCATACGCGCACCTAAGTGGCACTGTTACTGAGTCCAAGCTCATCCTGGTCCTGCTTGCCACAGGACAGGCCAATAAATTGAGAGAAGGGCAAAGAATAGCAACTTTATTAGGAAAGCCAGCAGACTGAGGAGATGGTGGACTCGTGTCCCAAAGAACAATCTTGCCTCAGTTAGAATTCAGGCTTCTTTTATACTAAAAGGGGAGGGGGTAAAGTCAAACATTTCCTGGTTCCAGTCAGCCTCCAGAGGGGATGTGTTGATTTCTTCCTGTAGTCATTCACAGGTGGGCCTGGTCAGGATGTTTCCTGTGAGCTAAACAAAGGTATTTTAGCTTAAAGCTTATTACCTGGGAGGCAGGGTTCCCAGAGATGGGCCATTATGTATAATTTAAGCTTATAGGCAACATCTCTTTAGTGATTAACTTGTAGCAAAAGCAATAGAATATAAAGGTTAAAGTGAAAGAAACTGATCTAATATGGAGTCAGATTTGTTCTTCCCTATTACAGCAGCCCCCCCAACATTATTTTGAAATAAATACCAGACGTGATTTCACCAGTAAGCATTTCACAGTGTATTTTTAAAAGACAAGCATTCCCCTTTTAAAACATATCCCCCAAACTATCACCCACCCCCAAAACAATAATTTCCTAATATTATCAAGTATCAAATTAGTGTTTACATTTACCTGATTGACCTATAAATGTCATTTTTCAAATAGTTTGAATTGAGATCCAGACCATACACTGCAACTGGTTAATATATCTCTTAAGTCTTACAAAAAAAAAAAAAAAGCTATGGTTTCCCTCTTCCTCTCTTTTTCGCTTGCAATTTCTTTCATTTCCTTTTTGTTTCATTTTTTTTTTAAATTTATTTATTTATTCTTTGGTGTTTGGTCTTTGTTGCTGCGTGCAGGTTTTCTCTAGTTACAGGAAATGGGGGCTTCTCTTGTTGCGGACCACAGGCTCTAGGAGCTCGGGCTTCGGTAGTTGTGGCACACAGGCTTAGTTGTTCTGTGGCATGTGGGAATCTTCTCGGACTAGGGATTGAACTCGTGTCCCCTGCACTGGCAAGCAGATTCTTAACCACTGTGCCACCAAGGAAGTCCCTGGTTTCGTTTCTTTTTCTTTCTTTCTCTCTTTATTTGTTTTTTTAGAAACTAGGTGGTTTGTCCTGTAGAGTTTTCTCCAGTCTGGATGGATCTTGCTGGTGGCATCCCCGTGGTGTTTTGACATCTGCCTCCACCTCCTGTGTTCTCTACATATTGGTTAGTTAGATCTAAAAGGTTTGATCAGATCAGGTTTGATTTTTGTTTTTACAAAACTGATTGTCTATTACTGTGCATTTCCATGAGGAGAATTATTATTCCTGCTTGTCTCTCATTTTTTGATGTTTGCAGCCATTGATCATTGCATTGCTTAGGGGTTATAAATGGTGATATCATTTCGGCATTTATTAGCTGGAAGACAGATGAAGGGGAATATCACCTCATCGGCTAATTGATTACATGAGGTACACTTAGCACAAAAAAGTCAGGATACATACCTGATTCTTTACCTTTAGCAGTTTTCAAAATAATTAATTGATTCCCTAGTATCTTCCACAGGATAGTGATCAATAAGGTTTTTTATTATTACCATTATGAACACATATTTTATATCTATCATTATGAACACATGGATTTGTATCTATCATTATGAACGTTACATTTGTTCTTTTTCAATCCACTGTAATTATTATCCCAATTTGATACTCATATTTTTCCATCATTGGGCAACGGGTTGGCACCCGAATCCTTTAAACAAAATGACTAGTTTCCTTGTTTTCTGGTATGACAAAGTGTTCTAGGCTCATCACAATTTTCCACACAGCTTTACTGAGGTGTAACTGACATACAGTTGACTACATATTTCCAAAGTGAACAATTTTATGTGTGAACAAGATAGTGAACATATATATCCATGACCTTAAAGGATTCCTCATGCCCCTTTACTATCCCTCCCCCTTGCCCTCTCTTCTCCCTCCCTCTTCCCCAAGCAGTCTCTGATCTGCTTTCTGTCATAATGGGTTAGTTTGCATTTTATAGAATTTTATATGAACGGAATCAAACATGACATTCTTTTTGTCTGGCTTCTTTCCCTCAGCATAATTATCTTGATATTTGTCCACGTTGTATGTATTATTAATTGATCCCTTTTTATTGCTGAGTAATATTCTATTGTACAGATATACAATAATTTTTTAATCTATTCACCTGTTGATGGACATTTGGGCTGCTTCCAGTTTTTGGCTCTTATAAATAAAGCTGCTATTGATAGGGATAGAGGAGGATAAATAAATACTTATTTTAGAAATCCCACGAGGGGATTAAAGACAGAAAGGGAATTTTAAGGGAGTTTGGGAGACTGTTGTAAGCGAATAACTACTCAAGAATAGAATTCAGCAACCTAGCAACAATCTACTCTACCTTGAAGGAAGACCAGGCGCATTCAAGCCCCAGGCACACTCAAGCCACAAGTCCTGATAGTTAAAACACAAGACAATAGATATGGGGTCTACACCTTGTTACATGAAGTCAGGGAATTAACGGTCCTTGAAGAGTAGCATTTCTGCATATAGTCAAGACAAGAATAGAGGAGAAAGGGGAAAGAAACTAGGTGAAAGAGGACATGATACCAAAACCTGAGATGAATTACCATATTTTAGTATATGTTACCACCCTTTTGCTAATATACATATGATTTCAATAGAGCCATGACAGTCCTGGTTAGACCACATAGGGCTAAAGGAGGAACTAATGATGCCCCAAAATGAGGAAGAAGTTGGTCTTCTCCCCCGCCCCCCAACTTTTTCTTTGATTATAAAAATGTAGCCCAGTTTGTTCTGGGGGCTGCGCTCCCTTGTCTGCCTGCTTGTATCTCTCACAAGCATCCAATGCTAATAAACTCACTCTCTGCCTGCCACTTCACCTCTCGCCTCTCGCTGGATTCTTTCTGTACTGAGACAAAAGAACCTGAGCTTCAGTAAGTCCTGAGACCAGGTGTGCAGTTTCAATTAAAAGACACTGGGTTCGGGACTTCCCTGGTGGTGCAGTGGTTAAGAATCTGCCTTCCAATGCAGGGGACACAGGTTCAAGCCCTGGTCCGGGAAGATCCCACATGCCACAAAGCAAATGAGCCCACGCGCTGCAACTACTGAAGCCCGCGTGCCTAGAGCCCGTACTCCACAACA